AAATGATGCTGGAATGATGTTAGACTCTCACATGAAAATAAAAGGGAAACTCAACATCTTATACAATATATAAAAATTGACTCAAAAAGAATCATAGGCCTAAACATAAAACTTAAAATTGGAAAACTTCTAGAAGAAAACACAGGGAAAAATCTTTGTGACCTTGGGTTAGACAAAGATTTCATGGCTAGGACACAAAAAAATTATGAACCATTAAAGAAAACAATAGGTAAATACGACTTTATCAAAACTAAAAACCTCTGCTCTTTGAAAGATACTATTAAGAAAATGAAATAATTAGCTACAGATTGGGAGAATATATTTACAAAATACATTCTGATGAAGGACATATTGTGTGTGTGCACATGCACATATGCTCTTAGACCTCAATAGTAAGAAAACAACCAAAACAATTTAAAAAGTAGGCAAAAAATTTGAACAGACAGTTCACCAAAGAAAAAATATATATGGCAAATAAGTCCACAAGAGATACTCAACACTAGGGGAATGCAAATTAAAACAACTACACAGCGATTAGAATTGCAACAAGTAAAAATAAAATGAAAAATATCAAATGCACATGAGGATTCATAGCAACTGCAACTCTCATAGTTTGTTGGTAGAAATTTAAAAAAAATGATACAGCCTCTTTAGAAAACTGCCCGACCCTTTGATATATAGTTAAATGTATAACTATTGCAAGGCTCCGTTAACATATAACTGTTAAGCTCAGTTAAACTTATAACTATTCCATTCCTAAGTAGTTGCTCAAAAGAAATGAAAACATACAAAGACGTGTATGGATGTTTATAGGACTGAAAATAGCTGAAATGTCCATCAACTGGTGAATATGAATAAATGAGTTATTCTACCTCCATGCAATGGAATACTCTTCACCTGTAGAAAGGAAAAAAAAACTATTGATATACGCAGCAACACTGATGGACCACAAGTTTTATGTTAAGTGAAAGAAGCCAGACATGAAAGTCTACATACTGTCTGATTCCATTTATATGACATTCTGGAAAAGGCAAAAACATGGGAACAGCCATCAGGTCAGTGGTTACTAGGGGCTGGGGTTGAAGGGAGGAGGATGAATACCAAGGGGGCACAAAAGGAATTGCTCAGAGTGATGGAAATATTCTATATCTTAATTCTGGCGGTGGTGGTTATATGGCAGTACGTATTCATCAAAATTGATAGAACTGTACATTTGAAGTTAATTTTACTGTATGTACATTATACCTCAAGCCTAACCTTAAAAATCTCAACAGGGTGGAGAAAAAGTGTGACTATTTCTGCTTACCACTTAGGTTCAAATGATACAGAATGACTTTTTAAAAAAAATAATGTGCCACGTTCCTAAAACAGGCAAGATGCCAGCGACCACGTCCCCCTGCCTGTTTCTGCCCCCTCATCTCCTCTCACTCTCCCTTTGCTCATTAGGACAGAGCACACAAACTCCGTTCCTATCTCTTTAACTCAGGAAGATCATGGCAGCCTCTGGCTCTTTGCCTGAGGCTCTTTGCTGTCTCCCAGATCTTTGCGCAGTTGACTCCTTGTCATTCTTGCCTTAGCTCCAAAGTCACCTTATGGGAGAGGCTACCCCGATCACACTCTATAAAGTAGCTACCCTCATCCCATGTAACTATGACATTATTTTGTATCCCCCCTGCCCCATAACCCTTATAACTATCTGAAATTCTTCTTATTTGTCTGCATGTTATCTGTGTCTCTGCGTTAGAATGCAAGGCTTTTGTCTGTCTTTTTACCTTCTAGAACAGTGCTTGGCACAATAAAGATTTGTTAAATGAATGTATTCCTTGTTAAGCTATACATGACATCTTTAAGGAATAAACTTCCCATTGAGACGCTGGAAATATAGCAATGTAAATAATTGTTATTACATGTTACATTTTCACCAGCCCCTCCCTCTCATGATATGAATTTCATACCATTATTCATTTGTAGTTTATTATAAAAATACTAGACTGAGAGTCAAGAGTCCTAGATTCTAGCATTGATCCTGCCACTAACTGTAAGACACTGTACCTTTGGGTCCAATAATCCCATTTCTAGAAATTTATCTAAGGAAAAAAAATGAACTTGTGCACAAACATATATGTACCAAGATGCTCACCCACTGTATTAATAATAGTGAAAATTGGGAGGAAGATAATTTCACAAAATGGGGATTTGGCTAAATAGACTGTGATTTGTCCATCAGAGTCACACTGGCAACTCATTTGAAAATGATGATTGTATTCATTTTGTTACGTATTCGATAAATGTTCATTGACTATTTGCCAACTTCAGGCACTGTTCTAGGCGCTAAGCATGTAGCAGTGAATGAAACAAGGTCCCTGTGTTCATGAACACAGTATGTTGATAGGGAAGAAAGACTATATAAACAAACAAACTACATAATATAATATCAGATGATGATAAGTTCTATAAAGAAAGGGTAATGTATAGTAAGGAAATTGGGGCGTCTCTCAAGAGAACGACCAGGGAAGACCTCTCTGAGAAGGTCACATTTGACCAGAGACCTGAATGAAGTAAAAAAGGAAGTAAGACATGTGAATATCTGTAGAAAGAGAGTTCCAGACAAATGCAATGGCCTTGAGGCAGGAGTATGCTTGGCAATTTCGAGGGAAAGAAATAAAGCTTATAGCTGGAGAAGAGTGTGCAAGGGAAAAAATGGTAGGAAATATGATTGGAGAAGTAGCCAGGGACTAGATTCAGTAGGGCTAGATACAGGCCATGTTGAAGAACATTAGATTTTATTGTAAATGTGATAGAAAACATTGGAGAATTTTGAATAGAGGAGTGGTCAGATCTGTCTTATATTTTAAGACAGTGTGGTAAGTAGGCTAAGGGAGGAGAAAAGTGAAAGCAAGGAAGCCATTTAGGAAGCTATTGGTTTCCAGGGGACATAATGGTGGCATGGACTAGGCCCATCGCAGTGGGGATGGTGAAAATTAGTTATACTATATTTGGGACTTTTATTTATTTCCAAATAGAACTAATACAAAAGGCCATTATGGTAGTTTTGATGGAGTATAGGAGAAAGAGTAAAAGATGAATCTTTAGATGTGAGCTTTTGCAATTGAGTGAAGTGAAATTGAATAAAGATGTGTAATATTGTTGGATAAGGGGATCTGAGTGCAAAGGAGAGGCTCTTGCCAGGACCTGGATATTACCACCTGGATCAGCGGTTCTCAACCTGTGGGTGCAACCCCTTTGGGGGTCGAATGACCCTTTCACAGGGGTCGCTGGGTACTCATATGTGGGCGTGTCTGCATGTGGGCCTGGAGACGGATAGAGGAGCAGTGTCTCGGTTCCTAAGACCATCGAAAATATGTGTTTTCCGATGGTCTTAGGCGACTCCTGTGAAAGGTTGAGATCCGCTGACCTGGATGATATCCCACTAAGAAGCGAGAACAAGAGTCCTGGGTCAAATCAAATGATCAAATATGCCAAATGCTGCTGAGTGGAGTAAAATGAGAACCAAGAGCCACCATTGGAGGCCACAGGTGTAGGTCACATTGGTCTCTGGTGAAGAGGAAAGCCTGATTAGGGTATGCTCAAAAGTGAATGGATTTCTTCAACAATTAAATTGATATGGGAGGGAAATTGAGGTGGGGGGAGGAGCCTCTAGATTAAAACATAATTAAAAGACAGATTAGCCAGTCACAAAGGGGAGGACTTTATTGGATCTTGAGGCAATCGGTGTCCAAATGCTGACTTGATTTTGATGCTATTAAATAACTATTTTAAAATGAGTTCTGTGGTTATATGAAAAAAATAAGAGTCCTTATCTTTTAGTGATGCATGTTGAAATGAAAACATATCTATAGGTAGATAACTATTGAAGTTGGGTCATGAGCACAGTTATACTATTTTGTTTGTATGAACCAAGAGAAGGAAAATATTTGCCAAAAAGGATCCCTTGTGGTTAGCTGGGCACAAATTATGTCATAGAGTATAGCAGCCATTGCTGACAAAGACCTTTCAGGTACTCCGCATCTCATGGGAAAACCACAGGTTGAGCTGCTAGTGTCTTGTATGTGCTCCTGTCTGTGAGTCAGTCCTTATAAAGGAGTTCTGGTATAGTCTTTCCACCAATGGGCTGAGACCTGCCCTGTCACTGGGAATTGCACAGCTATATCCTCATTTGCATCTTTACTGACCAATCAGAGCAGGTCCATAACAACCAATCAGAACGTGCAATTCCAACCAATCAGGACAGTGGTGTTTGGACCAATCAAACCCTGCAAATTTGGATTCCTCATTTGCATAGAAATGAACCAATCAGGGACTAGAGTGGGAGCTTTCTGTATAATACAAAATGACCTCTCCTTTGTGTTTGTTTGGGGCAGGTGGGGGGAGCATGCTTTAGGTTTCCTATAGAGGCTGTGTTTCCCACTTTTGCAAACTGTTTACCAGAATAGTTCCTCCTTTACTGCCCCACAGACAAGGCACTCCTGTTGGCATTAAATTGGTGGTTAATGACATTTTGTTGACATTTGGAACTCTCCAAAAGAAATTTTCAAGAAATGAAATCAAAGACTCTTATTTTAAAGGGGTAAAACTGGAACTTCTAGCTGAATAACAATCTTACTTTTTATGTGCAGCACACTCTTGTAAGATTCCCATGAATTTAGAAATCTGTGACACTTGTAATGAAAATAACTTCCAAAAGAAACCTTTAAGTCTAATTTCTTTTTTTTTTAATTTGTTAATTTGTTTCCTGGAAATATAGACATCTCTGATATTTAATAACTTTTATGTAAGACACATAGGTGCCTCGTTTAATTTCAAGCATTAACAAAAAAAAGGAACGGAGCTACTAGCTGCTACGTTCACTGATAAAAAGTGCAGAGAACCTAGCCTACTTTAAACCCCGCGGCGACTACGCCGCCAAATTGGACTAAGCGGGAAGGAAGCCAGGGAACTATGCGCATGCGTAATAGCGGGCCCGCGGTCTGAGGCGGGGCTCGAGCCTCGGTTAAAGGACAGCTGTTTCAGTCAATAAAGAGAGAGCATCAGTGGGTGTTTCCTGGGAGAGGACGCCGGAAGTCATATTTCGCCTGCGGTAGGGAAGGAGGTTAACAGAGTAAACACCCAGAGCTGAGGTGAGAGGGCGGCGACGGTTTGGGCTTCCGTTCCGCGTGTGTTTCTCTTTCGGGACCTCGCGACTTGGTCAGGGCGGACTGGGGATGGGGGAGGCCTGGCGCGGAGTGCGCTCGCTCGCCTTCCTGTCCCACGTCCCTCAGAGCGCGCGGCCTCCCCGCCCCCCGTGGACAGCCCGGCGGGCTCGGGGCTTCCTCCGTGTGGGAGGCCGAGCTGGACCGGAAGTTGGGGGGACCTGGGTTCCAGTCCCGCGCCGCCGGTTTGCTAAGCTGTGTGGCCTTGGCTATTTATGTGGCCTCCAAGCCCTTTGTCACGTATGAGGATACCATTCCTCTCCTTCCTCCTCAGGGAACATTCCAGAAATCTCTGAATTAATAAAGGGCGGGGAAGGGAGGTAGACTCCCCCACCCCCAAGCCTAATCGTCACAAGATTCCTGTGGAGGGGTTTTAAAAACTACTTTGTAGCATCCCCCTCACTGTAGACAAAGTGAAGCGGATGACTGGGGGGTGCGGCCCTGGAATGTCTTTATTTTTTGTTAATCCCCCCCCCGCGGCCCCCCCCCCAATGAGACAAACACTAGGGGGTGGTTCTTGAGTCTGATAACCGAGATGATACCTGGCATTGCTTTTACCATAGACCTCCATCTATCGCCTTTGAAAAGTTCAGTCTAGAGCAGCGGTTCTCAACCTTCCTAATGCCGCGACCCCTTAATACACTTCCTCATGTTGTGGTGACCCCCAACCATAAAATGATTTTCGTTGCTACTCTGTAACTGTCATTTTGCTACTGTTATGAATCGTAATGTAAATATCTTTTTGTTTTCTGATGGGCTTAGGCGACCCCTGAGAAAGGGTCGTTCAACCCCCAAAGGGGTCGCGACCCACAGGTTGAGAGCTGCTGATCTAGAGAAGTGATCGAGAAATGAACGGTAATTTCTGTAAGATGTCAAGTTCCTTGTGTACAGTGAGAAGCTTCGCAATTGACTGATTTTATTGTTTTTTGTTTGTTTGTTTTTAGCTGAGCCATCCTGCCACCTGTTGGCAGCTCAGCGGCTGCTCAGCTCAGGCCGGGCATCGAACCGCTGTTGCTCAGAGCTCGCACTCTTGAGCGAGCTCTTAACCAACTGAGCCACTCGGCCGGCTCCCACAGTTGACTGATTTTAAAAGAGTTTGTTGCCGCGCCACTAGAAGGACCAAGGGTAAGAGTGCCTGCCATGTATGTTGACCAGCCTTTTGATCTGGTGTAAACGTTTCCCCTCACGGAGACTTGGGATCCATCCTTATCGCTCAGGGGAAAATAACAGTAGTACTTAAAATGGTTATGAAGCGTAAGTAAGAGAACATACAACAATGTCATGTAGTTGGTCTTTGGAAAAGCGCAGTGTTAGTTAGAAGAATGCGCGGTGGTGCTGGGAAGCACAAGACAGGGCTTGCAACCTAAGAAGGCTTGAGTGGGGTGAAACATGGGCTGTCTAGAATTTATTTTGAAGTACCACCAGGTCAGTCAGTGCCAGTTCTCCGATTTTGGGAATTCATGTCGTTAATATGAGAGCGTTATTGATTGGGGGGAATATGCACTGCAGTATTTGGGGGTAAAGAGATGAGAGAGACCAGTAGGGCAAATAAGGAAAATGTTAACATTTGGAGAATCTGGGTGAAGAACATTGTACTCGTCATACAATGTTTCTGTAAGTCTGAATTTGTGCTAGAAAGTTTTAAAAAGTTGACTGTAGCTGTTGGCAACTGTCATAAGTTTTAAGTAAATGAAACAGTACACAGTGCTTATAAATAAACCCCACCCCATGCACTTTCACCCCTTTTTCCTTAATGGCTGTATTGTATTATTATAGACATCTTTTATCCAGCCTTCATATTGATGAAACCATGGATTGATTCCAACTTTTCCTACTTTTTTCAAACAGTGCTATGTTAAATTATCTTTATACACATTTTTTGTGTGTGGGTGTGTGTGTACTTGTACCAGTATTTTTATAACATAAATTTCTAGAAATAGAATTGTTGGTTCAAAGAATATCAGCATTAAAATTTTTGGTACTGCCAAATTAAATTCCAAATATGTACTTGTTTCCTTTTCTATCAGTTGTGTATGAGAAATTCCCATATTCTCTTGGGTGGTACTGGCCTACCATACCACTTAAGAGTGGTATGCGATGGTCCCTATGGTGGCTTCTATGAGAGCTAAGGTGAGTGGATGCTCTCCATCCCAGAAGGCTTCTCCGACAGGCCAGGATAGCTAAACGTCTGCTTATAAAGTTGGGATAACCACTCTGAAGAAACTGAGAGGAAGGAGAGTTGTGACCTCTGTTGGAATCCGGGACCTGCCATATAAAAGGTGTTCTTATATTTGCTGAAGGATGGAATATTTGAACTCTGATCATCTGTTAGATGAAAAGCATCCTTTTAAAATTTTGCTTTTAAAAGTATATTAGCCTTAATATTTTCCCACCTTTATTTAGTATTTGCATTTTTCTTGTCATCTTTTGCCTATTTTCTTTTTTTAATGTAGGTTAAAAAAAAAAACTCATTCAGTGGACCTTTATAAGGATCTAGCACCTTTTTGGCATTGTTTGAGGTGCTGGAAGTAGAATTGTGAACAAGACAGGCAATTCCTGAAGTCATAGTGCTTTCCTTCTAGTGAGGATGGAGTCAGAAAACATGTTTTTAAAAAATCAAAATAAAATTTCTAATATTTGGTGTTTGTTAGTTTGCAAGCATTCTTCTCCCAGAAAAGTGGGATTGCCTTTTAATTTTGATTATGATATATTTTCTTTATGGAATTTTTGGATTTATTTTTGTTAAATTTATTGGAGTGTCATTGGTTAATAATAATAATATATAAGTTTCAGGTGTGCATCTTCATAATACAACATCTGTATATTCTATTGTGTGCCCACCACCCAAAGTCTCGTCTATTTCAGTCACCATGTATTTGGCCCTTTACCCTCTTTATCCCTCCACCCCCCTTTCCTTTGGTAATCGCCATTTTGTTGTCTGTTAGATTTATTTTTAGTAGTTAGATCAGTTGGCCTTAAAACTTAGTTATTTATTTCCTTGATTGCTTGTAAGCAGCACTAGGATGGAGGCAGTGTTTCGTTTATCCTTGGAAGGTAATTAATGGAGTGTTTGAGATCTTTAGGCTCTTACTCTGTGACTTCCCACAAGTGGCTCAACCTTTCTGAGCCACAGTTGTTTCATCTCTAAAGTGGACAGAGCACCCTTCTTTTCTCAGATTTCTCACAACCATGAGAAGAAAAGTATTTAGAACAGTGTCTGGCACATATGGACTCAGATATTATCTGTCATCATAATCATCTGTGGATGTTCATTGTTGTATCAAACAATAAATATATGAAGGAATGAATGCACATTAAAGATGTTTGTACCTACTTCCAAATTCCCATTGATTTGGAACTCTATTGAAACGGATAGAGCTGCTCAGCAAATATTTATGAAGCTCCTGTGTGCAAGGTTGTGGACGCAGTGAGAACTATGATAGTAAAAAATTCTGCCTCTAGTCACACAATGTGACAGGTTTGCTTTGTACAGCTATTCTAAATCTTTGGTCTGTTTCTATAGGTTATTGATCTTCCACAATGGGTGAGCCACAGCAAGTGAGTGCCCTTCCACCACCTCCAATGCAGTATATCAAGGAATATACAGATGAAAATATTCAGGAGGGCCTAGCCCCCAAGCCTCCACCTCCAATAAAAGACAGTTACATGATGTTTGGCAACCAGTTCCAATGTGATGATCTTATCATCCGCCCTTTAGAAAGTCAAGGCATCGAACGGCTTCATCCTATGCAGTTTGATCACAAGAAAGAACTGAGAAAACTCAATATGTCTATCCTTATTAATTTCTTAGATCTCTTAGATATATTGATAAGGAGTCCTGGGAGTATAAAACGAGAAGAGAAGCTAGAAGATCTTAAGCTGCTTTTTGTACATGTGCATCATCTCATAAATGAATACCGACCCCACCAAGCAAGAGAGACCTTGAGAGTCATGATGGAGGTGCAGAAACGTCAACGCCTTGAAACAGCTGAGAGGTTTCAAAAGCATCTGGAACGAGTCATTGAGATGATTCAAAATTGCTTGGCTTCTTTGCCTGATGATTTGCCTCATTCAGAAGCAGGGATGAGAGTAAAAACCGAACCAATGGATGCTGATGATAGCAACAATTGTACTGGACAGAATGAACAACAAAGAGAAAATTCAGGTCATCGGAGAGACCAGATTATAGAGAAAGATGCTGCCTTGTGTGTTCTAATTGATGAAATGAATGAAAGACCGTGAAGGATGTTTCTTTTTCTTCTTGTTTTTTTTTTCCTTTCAGTAAATAGCATCATAGATTAGTTAATTTGCTCTTGGAGACTCTTAAAAGAGATATAAGTAGGAATTATATAAACAGCTTTACTTTCCAACTTTATCAATTAGGAGATGTCACCAGCAGTAGTTTCACTTTGTGGCAAGCATAGGCAAATGAGTATGACTCCATTCAGAGGCATCAACTGAAAAAGCACAGTGCTGCTGTTGGGTGGAACATTCCTGTTTTGGGAGTTGCAGTAAATGTTGAAGATAATCCTCAATAACAAGCTTTCATCCTTGAAAAGTAGATTTGTCATTTGCTTTAAGAATGATAGATAAATAAAGGATACCAAGCTGTATAAGTGTGAAATTATGAAATCTTTGATTTTATTTAAAAATTTGCTTAATCCCTAAAAAAGTATTGTGACGTGTTAAAAGAGAGAAACCCATAGAGTTATCAAACAGCAATTTTATTTTTCCTCTTGACTGTTCCTGTAAATATACTGTCTCGGCCTCTTGTCCGTATCCTGCATCGGTCCCGTGGCTTTTTTCAGTTCAGATAAAAGTCCTTTGTTCACATTTAGGTGCAAATGTACATTTTAGTAATTAAAATGTCTATGTAATTAACTATACATTTCCTTTAAAGTTAAATTCAGACTTGCTTAAGGCAGGAAGCTGCAATAGGAAGGGGTTTTGGTGGCAGAGACTGTTAGGTATCCACTGGAGATTGATTCTTTCTCCGTTGAGATTTGTTGCTTAGCTACGGCTTCCCTGCCAGGACTACATTTCTCTATTCCCCTTGCTTCTATGTAATGCCATGTGACTAAGTTCTTAGTAGAATATGGGGGTAAAAATCCAGGCCTGCCCCATAAAAATTTCTTAGATGGTCTCCATTCTCATCTGCTGGTTGGATGGCCACATCCAGGATAACTGGAAGCCACTGGAAGATGGTAAAAGTTCATTCAGTTTGGGCCCTTGAATGACTGAGGACTAGGCCCTCCTTTTATTAATTCCATGCCCCCCACCCCAACCCCAGTGATATGACTTTTATATAAGCAAGAAGCCACCTTGTTTCAATCACTGAGATGCTATTTCTGTACTTCTCTTTTCTGCCTTCCATCCTGTCTTCCACCAAAGTCTTCGTGGAGATTCTGCCTTATATCTGAGGTTCTTTGCTGACCTTTTACTTATTGTAAGCCAGTGGTTCTCAAAATATGCTGGACCAGCAGTGTTAGCATCACTTGAGGACTTACAGAAATGCAAATTCTCAGGCCTCACCCCAGACTGACTAAATCAAACTCCAGGGGTGGTGCCCAACAACAAGCAGTGATTTAACAAGCCCTCAGATGATTCTGATGTACTCAAGATTTAAGAATCACTGATAAAGGTAATGCCTTTTCCCAGATGTCCGCTTTTGATTCTTCCCCTATCCCTGGTTTCCAGTATACCATCCTTAAGGGATTTACTCTGTTAAGACCTCTAGCCCTAGAGCTGTTTAAAGTGGCCACAGGTCAATTCTATACATGAAACACTCATCCTTTTCTTTAGAAATCTTGGGAGTGTAAGTGGTTCCCAGGTAGACTCAGGCAGACAGCTAGTTGGCCGGTCTCTTTTTTTTTTTCTGGTATACGGTTGGTGTAAATCAGCGGTTCTCAACCTTTCGCAGGGGTCGCCTAAGACCATCGGAAAACATATTTTTGATGGTCTTAGGAACCGAGACACCGCTCCTCTATCTGTCTCCAGGCCCACATGCAGATATGCCCACATATGAGTACCCGGCAACCCCTGTGAAAGGGTCGTTCGACCCCCAAAGGGGTCGCAACCCACAGGTTGAGAACCGCTGGTGTAAATCCTTGGTCTCCAGAGGACACAGTCCAGTCTCTCTTAAGCTTAAGTTGAAGGGGAAGGGGAGTCCCTTTATCTTGTGGGAGAACAAGCTGAACATTGCATAACACTTGAGCAACTTACCAAAGAAACCTCTTTACTTTGACCTCAGCCCTTTTATAACCTTGTGGGGTTTGGGCTAGAGCAGAGGTTGGCAAACTGCAGGTTGCAAGCCACATGCTTCGGGTACATTCTGTCTCAAAAGTTTGCCAACCCCTGGAAGAGCCAATCCTGTCCCTCACAACAATTTAAAAATTATTCGAGAGTCATAAATATATTTTTACATAATCACTGTGAATCATATCCTTTAAAAATTTTATAAATGAAACTATGATAGTTTTATTTTCATTTTCAAATTTTACTTCAGAGCCACATGTATGTACCCAAAGAGCCGCATGTGGCTCATGAGCCGCAGTTTGCTGACCCCTGGCAGCTCTTCTGTCTCAAAAGTTTGCCAACCCCTGGGCTAGAGGTTCCAAACCAATTTTTGGCTGCTTTGCAAATCTTTGCAGGGGAAAATAATTGAATCACATAATGGTACAAGATTCACAACAGCATTTGTATATAAATTTGTGTGTGTTGGGGAGAGGATTAAGGGGTTAAAATTCCACTAGGAATCTTAAATTCTTACTTTGAGAGGATCTGAACTTGCAGATCTTTTAAAATAGTTTTGATGTGAACTGTTATTACAATGGGATGAAGGAATACTAGTGGTCTGGTACTTAACAAGTTTAAAAGTTTATATAGAATAGTCTTTCAACCTTGTGAAGGTTAAAATACTTCCCTGTACACTTGGTTATAATGGATATTCGTGATTGATTCCTCAGCGTGAAATATGTATCTGGTGGAAAACTAGCCTGGGTACCTCATGAAATGACCAATCCAGGCCCCAGACCAGAGAGATGCGGACTTCATTGTTCTGAAGTGGAGCCCTGACATGGGTTTTAAGAATCTCTAGATGACTACTGTGCAGTGAGTTAAAGGAGTATTTTTGCATTAGTCAGTACTCCCTACTTGAACTAGTTTCAGCAAAAAGATGAATTTGTTGATATTTGTTGAATTTGTTTCATAATTGAAGGATAAGTTGAACATTTTAACTATGAAGAGAACTGGGAGGGTCTCCAGGGCAACTGGGACTCAAATTCCATCTAGACCCCCTCGCTGTCTCCTATTTTCTGTCTGTTAGCTTCGTTTTCTTTATAATCCAACTTCTGTCATGGTGTGAGTAGAGTACATGGTTGCTAATAGTTCCCAAGTGTTTTAAGTCTTTCTACACCACTATCTGGGACTTGTCTCACAAATTAAAAAAAAAAAGAAAAAGAAAAAGGTGGAAGGCTAATTAACCAGCCTGGAGGGAGGAATTAGGGGTAGCATTCCTGATTCCACCTGGGCCAATCAGCTGGGTCCTGGATCCTGTAAGAATTTGACAGCCCCCAAAATGCCTGTATCGGGGAGGCAGTCCACATCTCAGGGGAAATGAGGTGCTGAACTGACCATATTGTAGATATCTACTACAAATTAAGTTCATGTAAACTTTTGATAGAAATAGCAAAAATAGATTGTACTAATTATATTTACCTCACCTATGTGAGAGTGGTCTCACACACACACACACACACACACACACACACACACACACACACACACACCTTCATTCATTTACTCATTGTATTTATTTAGTGAAGATTGTCCTTTCTATGCCTGATACTGGTTTACTTCCTGGCGGTTTGGGTAGTGAGGAGGAAAATGGAAAAAAGATGAACAAGAAAACAAGTGAGTTAATTTCTGAAGGTGTTAACTTCAAGCCTTAACCATCCATCCATTACAACACTCAGAAGAGTATTGTTTGTGATTATATTCCTATTGCCTGTTCAAAATGCCTTGTCTACTTTATCTTTTTTCAACTTACGTTTACATGTTCACATTTGTTAAGGGCTTTGGAAGGAAACTTCAACTGTGCTGTGTGGTATTTCATAGAAAAGGCCTGTTCTGGGTCCTGAGGTCACTGGAAACAGCAACTACAAGTGTCTCATGAGGAAATAAAAAGTTGGCATAATTTGGATGAGAAAGGCTATTATGGCCGCAACATAGGCTGGTGCTAGAGAAGCAGGTGGAGGGTAGATTAGAGGATTTAAAAGGCTAAGGGAAGGAGTTTATTTCATCCTAAATCTGATGGTAAATCAATAGCAAACATAGAGGGCTTTGTTGATACTGTTCTAATCACTACATACAGAAAGTCATTTTATCCTCATAATAAACCAATGAAATCAGTATGATTTTTACACCCATATTGCAGGTGAGTAAGCAGAGGCTCAGAGAGGTTATGTATTGGGTTGTCGGGAAAGGCATGACGCATTTTTGCATTGAAAAACATAGAAAAATACGTCATAACTTTCCCGACGACCTAATGATTTACCCAAAGTCACCAAGCAGAGTCAGGATTGAAAAATTCTAGTTTCAAAGCCAAAGCACTCAACCTCTATAGTTTACCACCTCTCCACTGCATCGTATTGTTAATAAGTCATAGATAATAAGTAGTGGAGCCAATAGTGGAATCTGATTTTGATCCTATAAAGTCCATACTCTTAAACACTACATGTTACTGGACCGAGGGAGGAACAGATTTGTAGGTGGAAATTAGGAACTGCCTTTGAGCATATTAAGGTGTTTATAAGTCTTAGACCCCTGTGGCTATCTTGAAATGCTTATAGCTCTAATCTTTTTGAAAACCCCTCTTATGTAGGTATCATCCCCACTTTATGAAACTGAAGGTCAGTTTTGTGGTTTTATGGCTACGAAGCACTTAGCACAATTTCTGGTACTTAGTAAACTATCAAAGATCAACTATTTTTCGTGTTAAGTCTTTTGTCTTGCATTTGGCACTTAGAATCAAAGATTGAAGAACTGGTTTCGAACTGCAATGTAATGAGTCCAACAGTAAGTGGCACTCTTACCTCAAGTTCAATAGCTGCAGTCAGGTGGCAGAGGAGGGGAATAAGACGGAGAAACTCAGAGGTTCTGTTAATGATCCTGAGTTTCTTATTCAAGAAGTGAGACTTGCTGCCTGTGCCTGTCTGTGGTTGCAAAATCTTATCTCGTGGAGAGAACGTGGTGTAAATTTTTCAAGATAATCAGTATTATGTTGTCACTAAGAGTCTTTTGATCAGAGCCTTTCTCCTAGGGCTTTCTGGACAAGACCTGGGGAAGACCTCAGGGATTATTGGTTACTACTGAGTAAGACAGTAAGACGCAGCTCAGATTTGCATAACACGTGACCAAGTTCTGTGAAGCTGCTGGTTCCCTCCCCACCCCCACCCTACCCCCTACCCCCACTCTAGGTTTAGAATAAGGGAAAGCATTCAAATCCGATGGGGGAGGTGTGGCTGGCCAGGCATGCATAGTAGTAGAACTACAAAGAAAGATGCTTTTGGGTCTTTACTGATTTTCACAACCAGTTATTCAACAAATACAAGGATCTATGAATAC